TGACTGCCTTCTGTGTATTTGACACCGTCTTTTCTTTTTGTAAACCATCTGGCACAAATTATCATTGTACTGACCCAGGGCTTGGAAGCTCATTTTGCAATGTGCCTGGTGGTGCGTTCTGACTGCTGGTGGAGTTTTATTAAGCAATCTCCCTTTCCCTGCTGGGTTCCTGTGTGAGGCCTCCTCTGTTCCGTCCTGCACCATTGCCTTCCCTACCACACCAGGGCATGCTCAGCCATTGCCCTGGAGTGTTTTCTCCCAGGTCGGGAGACCTCTGTAGTTTCCATTCGCAGATGTCTCACAGGTGTGTTTTCTCTGTACCTGGGTTAGTTAAGTTCCTTACCTCTGCCTCGCAGCTTGTGATAAAAAGATATATATAAATATATCATAAATATAATATATATGTACACATATACTATATATATCTATTATTTACATAGAGGAGAGTTGTAAAAGTTTATTTCAAAGTGATGGGAAAGAATTAGCAGGTGAAAATATACTTACTTTATCCATGGAAACAGGTGAGATTCCCAGGAGTCGTCCAGAAACGTGCTTTATGGACTTGTGGGAGGATTAAAAGGGCTTCCAGCAATGGGGCAGGTCCTCGGTGACTGGTATGAACAACCCAGGGTGGGGTTGTGGGCCGTGTTTGCACGAGGCCCCTCCAACTTTGGTGGCTTAGCCCAGTGGAAAGAGGGGAGGGCACTGGGAGGGGGCCCTATTGAGTTTAATGTAGATCCTAGTGATTAATTTCAGGAAGCCTGGAAAAGACTTCATATTACACATACTTTATACAATGCTTATTGATCAGATATCATTCGCATGTCATTGGAAAACTCATGTATTTTCAAATTCTTTGGTTTTCTCTTTAACGTAGCTCACTTCTGAAAATTTGAGTAAGAAACAGAATTAGATGACAAAATCCTTTTTTGTTGTTGTTCAAAGACAAGAGGCAGCAAATTGTGGCCCACAGGCCAAATCTAGTGATCTCCCTATATTTGTAAATAAAGTTTTATTGGCACACAGCCACACCCATCCAGTTATATATGTAAGGATTGCACATGCCGCTATTGTGCTGTGATGGCGGAGCTGAGTAGTTGGGACAGGGACAGTATAACCTTCAGAGCTACAGGATTAACTGTCTGGCCATTTACAGTAAAAGTTTGCTGACCCCTGTCCTAAGACCCCATCCCTTCTCTGTGCCTCAGTTTCCTCATCTGTACAGGAAGAGATCAGAACCATGAACTCTGTGTTTCTTTCAAAATCCTGGGATTCTGAGTTTCCTTTTGAAGCTCACAAGTTCTCAAACTGCCACCGTGAGAAAAAGGAGAATAAAATGGAAATAAGTTTTGTTTACTATCTCAGGAGGGGCCCTTGCTATGTATATCTCCTCATGTAGCGGTGTCAACATAATTTTTTGACTAGACACCTGGATTCTCTCCAGGGGCTGGTTGCACGTTAAGTAAAGAAACCCCAACCCATCCGCAAAGAGAAGCTGAGAGCGCAGCAGAACTAAGGCTGCTCTTGTTCCCCTGTTTGCTCTAAGGAAGTCTCAGTCAGCTCCCCACTCACCGGAAATCAGATGCAAACAACAAGGTGACTATTGAGAATCTGGCCAGGAGTTAAAACGGAAATCCAGTACTTCTTTTGGTGCTCTGTCTCAAGCTGCTCTGAGGACCGTAGCAGAACTTGAAATGAGGTACCTTTTCTTTCTTTCTTTTTTTAATCCTCACTGGAGGATTTTTAGAAATTGGCTTGAGAAAGGGAGGAAGGGAATGAGAAAGAGAAACACCGATGTGAAAGAGAAACATTCGTCAGTTGCCTCCCATACAAGCTCAGACAGGGAGATCGAACCTGCAACCTAGTTATGTGCTCTGACTGGAAATTGAACCCACAGCCATTTGGTGTATGAGGACAATGTTCCAACCAACTGAGCCACCAGCCCAGGACCAGGTAGCTTTTCAGTAAGCTCTTCTGTCTTTCAATTTGCTCAACAGTATAAATCCAGACTGGACATACGAGCGCATTTGAAGACGTTACATAAAATGCCTTTGTTTTCTTTAACACTAGCCTGCAGTGAGTGTATTTTGTAACTGATGGGAATCCAATGGGCCCCACTCAGGCTGACTGATTCCAGCGGGTAAATTTGGGTCCTTCCCAATGCACGTCAATGGAAGCTAAGGAGAACTCTGCAATTCTGTCATTTGACCACACTTGATTCAGACGGTCTGACCGTTTGCCACCTGCTAAAATCTTAACATAAGCCCACTTCTGAATGGTAGCTGAAAGAGCAATGCCTTCAGATGAGGAGAGCAAAGTCATTTGCAACCTTTTGGATGGAACAGAGGTTCTCAGTGATAGTTTTGTTACTTGGAATCCTCTCAGTTATCCAGGGGCTTCGCTTTCTTCCTCTGAAATGAGATTTCTTACATGGATGCTTCAGCAGACTGCTAGGTCTTCCTTATAGGGGTGTGTGTGTATGTGTGTGCCTGTGTGTAAGCACACACACATAGAGAGAATATGAATGTATCCTAAAATCTGAAAAATCAGTCATCTTCCTCAGTTGCATTAGAATTAGCATTCCCTTTTACATCATCTGAAGAGCAAGCATCTTTGCTTTTTCTTTTTTCCTAACTCCTTTATCCTTTGGTGGAAACAACAGTTTCTTAAGAAGATGGACAAGTGGCAAAAAAAAAGTAGAAAAAAATACTTGAATATGTAATGGGGTGGTGCACAACACTACAATTCACACAGAGTGTATCTTTTAGCTATTTAGTTAAAACATTATTCTCTGGTTAGTGTTTAGCATACATTTCACTCTATCTCATTTAGCATGTACAAAGGGTGCTAAAAATAGTCCCTATAGGTCAGCGATGGTCAAAAGGGGTGCCACGGTTCCTGGAGGAGTATTTGGAAATGGGTGAGGCAATTGGAGGTTGTTGCAATGAAATGGAGTCCAAGTAGCATTAACCCAGGGAGCACAGAGATACACTCTGCAAAGCATGAGACAGTCCCAAACAATGATAAATTGTTCCATGTCTCAGCAGACATTCAAGGGAGCGAAAACTGTTATCTTTATCTGAGTCTGCAATCAAACTTCATGTTGCATATGAATACAGAGCATCTCTTATGTAGTTTTGATATACCCCAGCCCCCAGCAGTACAAATACTGTATCAGTCAAGGGAAGTCAGTACTTTATTTTGCTCCACACTCTGCCAAGAGTTATCCACTATTTTGGAAAACCACGCCACTGAGAGCAATGCTACTCGTGGATTCTGGCGTCTTCAGTACAGTACAACCATATAATTTGTGCCTGTCTCAATAAAAATTCCAAGTACTTCCTTCTATCTTCTAGCGCATCACACCCACGTATTTACAAACTGAAATATGTAGTATTTTATTATAAATTATGTTCTTTGCATTTCTCTTTTATGTTACAGTTAAAACATGACATTGATTTTTTTTTAATTATGTGTGTAAGTTAGCAGTCAACAAACTTTAGTCTTCACCTGGAGACTCTGATGACTCTTCCACTTGGCTCCCTGGCTGGACAGAACCTGTCCAGCCTCTGCTTTGAGGTCACTTCTCCCTTTGTCTGCTGCCCCAGAACAGAGGAGCTGGCTTTCAACTCAACTGCGTCTGGATCTTCTCAAGGGCTGGGGGGACCTCTGGGCTCTCTCTCTGGGCCACGTGGGACGTCCAAGTCCTGGGAAATTCACTCTACTTTGATGCTCCTGGAATGCGGTGTCTTCCCAGAGCCTCAAATAGGTTTTTCGCCCCTCTTCTATCCATGTCTAAAGTCCCCTCGCCCCACTGTCAGCTCTAGGAGAAGTTAACTTCTCTTTTACTAGTCCTGTATCATAAATCCTCTTTCGTCCCAGAGCTGCAAGCCTCAGGGGTCTTACTGCCCCAGGCAGAAAACACCTCTTCTCTCTGCCATGGGAAGGCACCTAGAGCTAAGCAGTCGCAGCTTATATGGAAACTAAAGGAATTCAGCAAATCCTCTCTCTCCGCAAAGCATTGCTTTCCAACCCATTGTTGGTGCCACTCTCTCTCCCAGAATGATAAGTCTGAAAAGGGAGACTGAAAAAAAAACAAGATTTAAAGACAGGAAATTTGAATAAAGGTTTAATGTTTACCTTACACTGGCCCAATGACAAGTATGGTTGAAATTACATTCTTTTCCTCCATTATGACAGAGAGCTGGAATATGAATGCAGTTTAATTAATACAGGGATGGACACAAATGTATGTATCACCTATACTGGGCAGTGTATACCCACATGGGAAGGAATTGCCCAGTTCACCCGTCAGCTGTCACACACGCCGAAGATCATTCTGAGGCCACGTCAGCATGAGCTCACAGATCCTCACGATATGTTGCAATGTCTCGGGATTTCAGCCCCTTCTCCCTATGATGTCAAAAGCCCTCACCATGATTATTTACATTTTTATTTTCATTTCATGGGGCCCGAGGAAAGCGGTCTGATTGCACCCCTCCCACCTCCAGTGTAGCCCTTTCAGCAAACTCCCTACCTCTCCAGTCCTAAGAGCTCTGTGTACCCGGGGGATTTTTGCCTGGCTTGTAGATGAGGTCGGCCTCTTCTCAGTTCCAGCAGAGGGTGTGTGTGTCTGTGTGTCTGTGTGTCTGTGTGTCTGTGTGTCTGTGTGTCTGTGTGTAGGGGGCTGGTGAGAAGAAGAGGTGAGCCAGAGGTAGAGATGAAGGAAGGGAATTCAAATAGACTTAAATACATAATTATAGTCTATTTCTCTTAAACAGAAATATCCTGAGTGCTTTCAATAGCACCCTGTGATAGTATATCAACAGGTTAATGATCTAATCGAACAAAAGGAGTGAGAGGGTTGCTGTTGAATTTTTTTAGTAGGACTTTTGGATAGAAAAGGATTACTGTGTGCATATTCACCCTGCTTGCTTAGACATTCAGGACACGGCACTTTACTGCTCTTATCTCAGTCTCTCTTCCTTGTTTTTCTTTAGCTCAACAGAATTCACCAAAAATCCATGAAGGCTGGTGGGCATACAAGGAGGTGGTCCAGGGAAGCTTTGTTCCAGGTAAAGCACATTTATTTTTCTTCTTAAAGAAAAGAATTTGAATGAAATATGGTATTAGCACATGTGATGGGATGTATTGTAAAAGACAGCATAGTCTGACTTAAGTGTTGTACGTTTATGGAGTGAATGGCAATTTAACCATGGCAGTGTTTTTCCGTCTGAGTCCATGTCCTAAGGGCCTTCCACCTACAGAGGACGCTGTCAGGGAGAGAGCAATGGAGGATCAAGGGTTGCAGCTCTGTCTGCTGGAATTTGGTTAAGTGAGAAAGAGCCTTTTCTTCACATTAATGAAACAGGAAGCCTGGAAAGGCTGACCATGGCAAAGAGGCCTGCTGGGATGCATGCTGTCCCTGATGTCACTTCAGGAGCATCCGCGGTCAGGACTCAGCAGAGTGGACCAAGCACCAGCTAAAAATAAAAGGCAAAGAAGATGCCGTCAGCATGGGGGAGGTGAGAGGAGAACTGAAGACAGTGTGAAGCCAGAAACAAACTTCAGTTTAGGAGCAAGAGGGAGGGCCCTTGCCTTTTCCTCCTGCTCTTATCCTGACTGTGGTCCTCACCCTCTGGCTGTGGTGATTAAGACTTTAGTGGGGAAAGAAGCAAGGGAAAGAGCAAGAATCTTAAAGAGAAAGACGGGAGGGAAGGCAGGTGAGATATTTCAAAATATTTTAACTGCTTACATATGAGAAGGTAAAAAAGAAAGCTCTCCGGGGGAGCCAAGGTGGGGTCCCCGCTCATGCCCTGGGAACAGAGGACCCCAAGTGTCAACTGAGGTTTGTACAGTCGGTGGCACATGGAAAGAGCCGTGCTCCACGTTGCCTGGTGCATTCTTGGCAGCGATGTCTTCTTTTCCTGTCCTTCTGTAGAATGTATTACATGAGCTGCGCCGAGCTAAGCAGGTTACCAGACTCCTCTGAGCATCACTTTTCTCACCTGTTTGTGTGACAATAGAACGCACTCTTGGAGCTTTTCAATAGGAGGAGAGCAGGCATGGGGAGGGAGAGTGAGTGACCCAGGAAAAAGCCCACTGGCTGCCAAATAGTCTCATAAACTGCATTACTAACTTCATAAATGCACTATGGTACATTTATTCCTTGGCTCAGTGGGATAGAGGCTGGACTTGATTAAGTCTCCCAGAAATTATCAGGTTTCTAATAATCTTGTAATGACTTAACTGTTACAAGCGATGTTCATATGGCACCTATAGATACATGATATTTTATAATTACACCTGGGAATGGGCCTTTCCAATGGATAGAATGCTTGTATGGTTTTTTTTCTGAGGAACATGCTTCTTATACTCAAGGAAATCACATTCGTAATTATAGTCTCCTGCTTTTGGATTATGGAATTAGAGCAACAAAGGGCATTTCTCCAGGCTATAGTAAGTCTTGTGAATCTAAAGTACACTGATTCTAATATCCTCTGTAGTGACTAAAATGCTCATGGATGATACTGGATGGGCTGTAGAATGTCTCTTTTCTGTGCCACTTTTTTTATGATATCCCCTCTGTTGATACATTCGTTACGTGTGTTCAAGGCTGTGTTTTGAGTTTGTTGTTGCTTCTAAAATAATCGCAGGAAAGAAATTTTACCTTGCCTTTATGCATTAATTGAAGAGCTGAACTTTCCCTCATTTCCAGTTTCAAATGGGGTAATACGTATGAAACCCACTCTATGGGATGCAGAAAGTGTGGAGTTCTAGCATGGGCTCCAGAGCCACACCTGGGGTTGAGTCCGGGTTCCAGGGCTTCCTGCTGGTGTAATTGTCAGCACATTGCCTACCCACTCTCAGGCCCTGAGTTGTCATCTGTTGGAGTGGAGATAAGGACCAAATCAGCTTCCTGAGGTTTGTGACAATTAAATTATGTAATGCAGAGAAAGTGCTAATGGTGAAGTCTGGTACATGGTGTGAGTCAGTGTCTGTCAGTCTCCTTGGTGTGACTACCATCCTTTTATCAGCAGCACCATAACTGGATATTTGCTCCTTCTCTGCTTGAGCAAAGGCAGAGAGCTAAGCTTTGGAAAATATAAGGTTACAAATGAGGGTCCCTCCTGATGCCTAAAATACAGAAGAAGGTGCTTAGGAAGTGTTCCTTGAATTCCCCCACACAGTGGCCAGCTGGGAAATGACTTTATCATCCTCTGTGTTTAACACCCCTGATGACTTTCGGCTTCCTGGTCAAGAAGACTGGTATCTGATCATTTCACTTCCTAAACTTTTGGGACCTTCAACTCTGCTAAAGAAAAAAATAGGAGTCATAAGAATTTTGAATTACATAAGTGGACCTGAGGTTCTCACATCTGACGGACTCTGGATGACCTGCATTATCTGAGCAGTGCTTCAGGGCAGACAGTGGACCCTTTATCTCTTATTAAGAATGAGAGGGTTCTTTAGTTTGCCACTGCGATTTTTTTTCAGGTTACAGATGTGTTAAAGAAAAGAGAATTTTGTATGACTAGACTACCTGGAGAAGAATTATTGTCCCATAGGTTCTTTACAAGAATGTCTAGAAGTAACTGTCAGTTGGCATAACAGTTGTGAATCTATGACTTCAACAAAGCATGTGCTGGATGGAAGTGTGTGATTTCTGTAGTATTAACAAGAACAAGGTTGCCCAAGCAGAGCTATCTTTGATCAGTTCAGTTGCATGCATGGAGCAGTCACCTGTTGTTGAGCACCATGCAAGGGGCTGTTGATAAAGAGGTACCAATACATGGTGTTTATTTAAGGGTTAACCCACAGTCTAAGGAGGAAGATAAGCCATAAACCCATGACTTGGTATGACAAGAGCTCTGATAGAATTGATAGGACATGTAAAGAAGGCCATAAAGATCATGGTGGGGAGGCTCAGTTGGTTGGAACATCATCCCATGCCCTGAAAGTTGAGGGTTTGATCCCCAGTGAGGGTGCATACAGGAGGCAACTGATGTTTCTCTCTCACATTGATGTTTGTCTCCCTCTCTCTCTCTCTCACTTTCTCTCTCTCTCTCTCCCTGTGTTATAATCAATAAACATATCATGTGGGAATTTTTTTAAAAAGCCCAGAAATATTGAGCTTCTGCCTGCTAATGTTTAACAGACTTTGCCGTTCACCCACTTAAATCCATACTTCCATCCAACCCCACCTGTGGTCACAGTCTGCCTTGCAGGCAGACCCCCGATTTTGTTCGAATGTTCACCGTCCACACAGCCATGTGCTCAGGGAAGGAGCACCTCCCAGCCCCCAAAGGTTACTCTTGGCTGCTATCTACAACAATCCTGATGATTCCAGTCTCTTTCTTGACAATAATTGATTTAGATATCATAGTGGCCAATATAATGTGTCAACTTGGCTAGTCTACATTACCCGGATATTTGCTCAACTATTATTCTAGATGTTTCTGCAAAGATAGTTTTTAGATGAAATGAACATTTACATCAGTAGACTTTGAATAAAACAGATCATCCTCCGTGAAGTTGGTGGTCCTCATCCAATCAATTGAAGGCCTTAAGAGAACAAGGCTGAGATCTCTGAAGAAAGAGGGAATTGTGCTCCCAGAAGCCTTTGGTTCTCGCGCTGCAACACCCATACTCCCCCGGGTCTCCAGCCTGCCCACCTGCCCTGCAAATCCCAGATTTGTCAGTTTCTACAATCAGACGAGTCAATTCCTTAAAATAAAACTCTCTCTCCACACACCCCCACATACCCACACACATTCAATCAGTTTTGTTGCTCAGGAAAATCCTGATTAAGATATTCACACAGACATGAACATATGACAAACAGTTCTACCCATGGCTTTCGAGGGAAAGCCTGCTGAACAAACTTGGAAACAAAAGGCACACACTGAAGATGGCAGAACAGAAAGTTGGAAGGAATCCACATCTGTTATGGCCCATTGAGCATTGAATTAAGTATGGAATCACCTCTGCATTGATTTTCTTAAGCAAGAAAACAAACCTCTTATTGTCGGAGCCACTTCGAATCAGGCTTTCTGTCACTTGCAGCCCAAGGCATTCTTCCAGGTTCAGGTTTCTCAGTGCAAGGCACAGAAGGAAGGAAGTGGGAACTGGGTCCTGACAATGTTTAGGATTACTTCAAGTGGAGAAGCAGGAGAGGGTGGGGAATATCGGAGTAAATTACAGCGCTGGTGAAGAAGGCTGAAAATGCACTGTGGGCTTGGGGGCTGAGGGTACTTCCGAGTGTCTGAAGGGCAGGGAACACAGCACAGCCTGACGAGGGAGCAGGCCAGCAAGTTCCTTAGGTGCCAGGCTGTGAAACTTGGAGTTCTCATTTCAAGAGCTTAGACACAATCCCTTTAAAATTAGGAAAATTGGAAGACACTTCTAAGCTCTAGAAAGTCACAATGAAATGCGTACTTTAACGGAGGTATACTCTATTTCAATGAGGTTATCATAGGCAGAAGAATCCAGGAGGTGTTTTTTTCTCCTTATTTTTTTATCATCCGGGTAACAGATGGTAAGCACCTATACTAAGACTGTGAAAGTGGGAAAAATGGGTTAATTGTGGGGTTTGTTTAGTAGCATTTAAAGTATATATCTCTCTCACACATGTACATAACACATTTATAATTTAGCATAAATATATACACACATTTCACACATTTCAGAAAAATTTGTGCCAAATACTGTCTATCCACATTTCATCCATCCAAAACAGTAGGGAAATTGGGCATTCTCTTCACAGGAGGCACTATTTCAGGAACTGGGATTTTGAAAACACATGACCTTGAACTTCTTGGAGCTTACAGTCTTGTGGGAGAGACAGTTCACTAAAAGTAATAAGAGCGTCTCCCACCCACCCCCGGAACCTGCTTCACATGGCAATATTTGGATGGGGAGTTGCTTTCTCCCTTTTCACACTAAGACATCAGAATCTGGGGCTCATTTCCATTTTAAAGCTTTAAGTCATTACACTCAGCATATATATATATATTTTTTTTTTTCCAACTTTATGAAATGCTAGATAGAGCAGGAACCTCTCTTCCACTCCTCC